ATATATGTTCTGATCGCCAACTCATACTAGATCCAGTTGCATTTTATTGGAATTGAGAAAATAGTCCAAATGAATTTGACTTTCCTTTTTTTGTTTCCGAAGTAACTCTCATAAACTAGCATCATTCGGATGTAACCCTTTAGGAGTAATTCATCTAATTGGTTAGATCCAATTGGTTAGGTCTAAAATAAGAATATCCATTTTCTATGATCTCCTATAGATATCCACATATAGATACATTGACTTTACATTTCATACATCCACCTCGATTCCGATCTATTTGAAAATTGCTATAATTTATTTACCCATATATTTACGCATACATTAGATCTATGTTCGGAGGAAACCGCCATATTCTACTACTACTAAATAGATATATGTGTTATCTATATCTAAGTCTTCAAAAAAAAATAGATAAGATTTGCACCTATTGAATCTAAAAAATCTTGTTTTTTTTAACATGAAGAGATAAAGAAGCCATTGCAATTGCCGGAAATACTAGGCTCACTAAAGGCACAAAGAGAGAGGGTAAGTTGTTAAGAGTTGTCATAGAATGGGTACCTATTGTTAGAAAGATATCTTAGAATAATTATAATTCGTATATAATTAGATTGAGTATATCTAAGTGAGTATATATATTAAATAATAAGTGCAAGGAATAGATAATTAAATAAATGAGACTTATTCTTCTTTATCTTTCTACATGAAATATAGAAATATACGTATGATAATCTATTCTATTCTTGTCTTAAAATTAGAATTGAATTCTCATTTTTATTTTATTTAATAAATAAAGAAATAAAGAGTTTCTTACAAATTTCCGAGGGATTCGTTAGAATTCAATCTAACAACAGAATTCTTAGTAAAAATAGAGATTCTCCGAAGATAGAGTAGAAAGAAAAGATACTCTATATCTATATTTTCTATATTTGAATTATATATACTATACATACGAAGCAAGAAGGAAAGATGACCTTAGGTTTATTTTATTTGCCTTGCCCAATTTGAATTTCGAAGAAGGAACCATTTGTTTTACTATCCTTATAAGACTGTAAATTTTGATTTTTCAAGGGCTAGGGAGGACTCGAGCCAAAGCCCCAGTGATTGGCCTAAATATGAAACTGTTTGTACTTGGTGGTGTCGGGAATCGAATGTGTGCCATACTCACAGGTCAGTTCCTTAACCGTTAAACCAAACCTGTGCGGTTAATTATTTCACTAATGACGGGTTCCAAAAGAAGAATTTTCTGCCCTTCACAAGAACACAACTTAACGGGGATTTCGATTCGGCCAGAATCAAATTGCAATTAGCATATGCAGATCCAATTCGTCCTATAACCATATCTTCTTTTTTTGATAATATGCCAAAAATAATCAAGTCAATACCGGCCCTCAACACATGGCGCCTGCGTGAACAAGTTTCTACGCGAAAATTACACTTTTTTGTCCCCAATACCATGTATTCTGCTTTACCGACAAAATTGTCCCTGTTAAACTTAATTGATGGGTAGGTTTATATTGGGCCTAAACGTACTTGTTCAGATCTGCCCATAATTCAAAAAAGTTGTCAGTTTTCTTCGTATGACGATCACTCCTAATTAGGCCCAAAGTAAAAAATTTTGCGTAAGCTCGTCTAATTTGACTTTGGTCGTCTAATTTGACTTTGGACCTTATTGGGTCGCGGCGGGCGTGGCCTCATAGGTGACCTAGTGGCCCCATGTCCGTAGGTGTAGTCCTTACATCTTCTTCGTCAAAACAATGTATAAGCACTATGATCACCGATTCTTAAAGAAGTGCCCAATCAATACGATCATGAATAGGCGATGCCTACGTGCGTAAGTTCATTAAAATCATACCGACGATCTAATCAAGACCAATTTCTTTACGGTCACGTCATTCGCATCATAACAGATAATTTGCCCAAAAGTTCACTCAAGACGCTACATATTAATAATTTTGATAACCACTTGCGATTTCCATCGAGTTAGAAACGGATATATAGTGACAATAAGTCGATTTTCATCGAAGAATAATAATAATCCACGGACCAGTGTTTCCGTGAGAAACCAAACATAATCAAATTCGATGCGTATAAAAGTGGGAGGCCATAAGTAATTTCACTTAGATATTTCCACAAATATTAGCTTTCTAGTATTAATCGTCGGTGTTCTTAGTAATCTTCGCGGCACTTTAAAATCAAAAATTGGACGAAAAGGACATATTCGTGGCCCGCATGAGGGGCGAAAATCGCAAGGAAAGCAAAATACAGGGGGAGGATCGAAAACGAAACTTTTTAAATTTAAGGGGGTCGAAAATGCAGTTTCTCATATTCTCTTGACGTGTTTCGCCGCGTCGCGCAAATCTTGATCTCTCCTCCGTCTCGCGTTCGTGCCAGTTGCAGCGTCGACGACGATCCAGCGCGCCTGAGAATCGGCTCCTCCTCTCGCCTAGGGTTTCGTCTCGATCCGATCCGACCCGACCCGATCTGTCCAGCCCCGTCCCATCCATGGCCGGCAGTTTCCACCGGGGCGGCCCGTTGTACGGCGGCGCCGCCGCTCCCTACCGATCCCAGTACGTCTCTTCCCACCGCCCCCCCTGTCGCCCCCTCCCGGTTTTCCCGCGCGCGGGGCTCCTTCGTCGTCGCGTTCCGGGAAACCTTTTCGTTGTTCTTTGCTCTGATCGTTTGGTTTCGCTTCTTCGTGGTGGCTTTTTGGATGGAAACAGGGAGGGGCTCAGCACGAGGCCCGCGGGCGGCTCCGACGAGGTCCAGTTGCGGATCGACCCGATGCACGGGGACTTGGACGACGAGATCACCGGCCTCCGCAAGCAAGTCCGGCAATTGCGAAACGTACGATCTTCTTTTCCTCCGTCCGTAATTTTCGAGCTGTTTGGGGATATAGAAGTTTCGTTGCTGCGATCTCGGCCCTAATCGGCGAGGGGTGAATCGGTTGAGCTTCTTGGGTTTGATGGGGTATTACCGAATTGCTTCCCGGGTAGAGTAGCTGAGTCGAGGTTGCCCCTTTTTAATGTCCTTAGGGATGCTAAAATACAACAAATTTATCGGAGTAAATATCAATTCTTTACTCAAAACGAATTCTTGCTTTTGAAATTTTGTTATCTTAACCACTAAGAAGTGATGCTTTCGCTGCCCATGCCGGGTTTGATGAAAGGGGAATGAGTTTCGTCCTGAATCTCACAGAGTGCTGCCGCATCTATATTATACACGGTTGACCAAAATTTTTTCGAGGGAATATGGTGAGTTTAGCGCTTGTGGATACTGGATAATAAACTTGCCTGGTTCACTGCAATGACTATTTTGTTTGTCTAGAAGGGCTTGCTGTTGCCTAGAAACCTTTGCTGTTACTAGGTTACAGTTTTTTTTTTTTGGGGGAGAAAGTGGTTTACTTTCAGAGGTTGTGATAAAAATTGAAAAAACAGGTGGAGGGTCGTATCTGTTACATCATATTGATGTCGGTATTCATCGAAATTCTACTTTCTACATTTTGAGACATGCTTTGCTCAGGCCCGAGCAGTTTTTTTAGTTTGCACTTCCATTTGTCTTTGACCCCATTTAGTGGGAGAGGGCTTAGTTAAGGTGGAGGTTGTTCCGCCTCCATTTGTCAATAGTTTACTGGACCGTAGTAGTCTGTTTGATTCGGCAATAATTGGATAAGAACATTTTCACCCTCTGTATAAGGCATCGTTTCTCGGGATGAACTTCAAGCTATTTGCTCGGGGCTTTGTATAGCTTGGGAAAGAGGTTCCACGAATTTAGTAATTGAAAGTTTCCTTCTGTTTTATATGAATAAGGGCTGTAGATGTAGATGACAAACTTGACTTTTGCCGAACCATTTTTGGGGACATCATGACCTTATATGGTTTTAGGATGGTGTTAGAGCCACTCACAGAGAGAAGGAAATGCTTGTATCGATTCTGTGCGACAAGCTCATGCAATCGGTTTGGTTTGGCTGGTGAATGGGTTTCAGATGATGTTAGTGGTATTGGTTATTTGGTACGCCTCCTCATGAATATCTTGAGTTCTAGCCATCTGTTGTTTCTAGTGTAAACTTCTGATGCTGGCCATTTTGCTGGGATATTATGTTGAAAACAAAGAATAAGAGTGGAATGACCAAGTCAGAAGAAGCTATTGTCAATCATGGTGGTAGGGCACCCACCTTAAGCTATATTCTCTGAGTCTGAAGGAAAAAAGACTTAAGATATTCTTAACAACATTCCGTATATTGAGAGTTGTGATGACATTTGTGTGTCAGAACAATGTGCGTTTCCTCCTTTCTGCATAGTGCATATTATCCTGAACTTTAGTGCATCACCTCTTTGACTGGCAGACATGCTACTGAATTTTGATGTATAGATGTTTCACTGTTTGCTTTCTCAGCTCTTCATCTCTTGGTGCAGGTTGCGCAAGACATAGAGACAGAAGCAAAATTTCAGAATGATCTGCTCAATCAGCTGGTATGTCCACCTACTGCTTAGCTCTCTGAATTTCTCTTTGCTTTTTCTTGCAGCATGTCGAGCCTTACTAGTCAAGAATGAAAATGGTATATAAATCATGGCTTATAAAGTTGGAAACAATAAGTCAATGGGAGAGGTAGTGGATTTCTTTGCTTTGACAAAGGATGTTGAAGCCAGTTAGATAATGTGCGTCATAGTTGCTTCGAACTATTTATGGTTATACTATCCATCTTCCTGCACTTTCAAGTCAAAGCTTTGTATATGGTCATGAGGTGCAGCCACCTTCCTGAACCTTCTTGATGTATGCCATTTCTCTTCTGAAGACATTTTCTGTTCACAAGCATAATAATGGGATTGCAGTCTTTGTGTCATTTAAATTTGCTATTTGATTAGCTTAACCATAGCTTTTGAGATTTTACTCGTTTCTCTTCGATCATTTTATACCTTTTTAATGGAATGAAATTTAAAAAAAAAACTAATGAGGGATGACAAATGGGCAGAATCACATTCTTGTTTTACAAGATTAATCTCTTCAAATTTGGAGTGAAAATGAGAGGGTTTTTAATGGAAAAATTTGGCCTTTTTCCAGATAAACCTTACTGATATGACACCTTACACCTTTAAAACAATTAAGGCGTTCATGCTGATTTTGCATCTGGGGTCTCTGATGGCGAATCACATGACGATATCTGCCGTGTCTTATAGTTTGCGCTATTAAGAATGAAGACAAAAGAGTATCAAATTGGACTGTTTGTGATCTTCTTAAATGCACAGTTTGATCTGTTTACTAAAACGAAAGATAAGATTGGTAACTTGTACTTTACCAACTTGCCAACTACTTTCTGCCACATTGTCAGCTCCCTAAGAGGATCTAAATTATTTCACTGCAGCAAATGACGCTGATCAAAGCACAAGCTGGTGTTAAGAACAATGTGCGGAGGCTGAACAAGAGCATAGTTCAGTATGGTTCAAGTAATGTCGTCCATGTTGTGGCTTTTGCATTGGTTTGCTTCTTCTTTGTCTACCTATGGTCAAAACTTTCCAGAAGATGAGGACTGCTTGTCTACTGCGGGGCTAGAGCAATGAGCTGCTGATTTACGGCTAGAGGGGTTTGCTAGGACACTATTCAATCTTCTCTCCACAACTCCACTGTAAATTCTTTTTTAGAGAAATGATGCTATGCTACATGAGATTTGTATGTTAGTGACAGATTTTCCTCATCTCGGAGAAAACTCACATCTGCTTACCACCTATACTTGAAATGGCAAAAGTGCATGTTCATTGCTTCCTTTTACATGATAGCATGTGTACATTTCTCTTACAGTGGGCACTCTGCCTGTTGACCTTTTGCTGAACGAGAAACAATCGGACTTCCCCCCGACACAGAGAGAGAGAGATCAAAGGGGAGGAGTGCCGGTAAACTTTTTACTGGTGATTGACAAATCGAAATTCTAGCAGACACAGGTGGTTGTCTTAGGCTGCAAACGCTTCTTGGCTTCTTCCAGTTTGCTTTCTCTGACTCGGCTGAGGACGTTTCTTGTCCACTCGGCAAAGAATGTTTCATTGTGACCCACCTGGCCATCTTTGTAGAATAAGAAGCAATCGAGATCCTGGTGAGGGTTCGGGCAATCTTTGGTCCCCAGCGGTTCCCAGTATGCGCCCTCGTGTATCATGCCACACAGCTCCGCCGTCCAATGGTGAGCATGTTGGCCGATGCCCGCGAGCTCTAACCATCCTCTGGGGAAGAACTCCATTACCCTACTGCCCTGGTCCATGAAGAGCATGTTTGTCAGCTGTGCGCCGTGCGGGGTCGCAACAATGTCTGTGTGAGTCATTACTCGCACCTGAAAGATTAAGGAACATATGTATGAGCATGTATAAAAACTCTTATTAGGAAAGCCATGGCAGCATACGTGCCAATGTCTGGCTTGGAGTTTTAAATCTGAGATCGCAAATTAAATTGATCGTAAAGACAGACCAGCAATTTGGTGCTTACGAACTCTTTTGAATTACTCTTTAAAAAATAGCAAATAGCTTCAGATTTCCCATCTTCCGAAGCTCTTGATGACCTAATACACATTTCTATTCTTTAACTGAAATTGCGACTTTCCACCCTAAATCTTTTGGCTCGTAGTCAGCATTTTCTGGGTGATTGGAGAACTTAAATAGCCTAATAAATCAACTGTCGCCGACCATAACGTGATCTTGGACATTGTTTAATACGATCTTCAGAGCGAAGTCAGCATTCGAACCAGGAAAGCCCAATAAAATAAGAGGGAAAAAAGAGAAGCAGCAGCTTCGTGAACATGGTGCAGAGAACGAACCTGGTCGCAGAAGCTCAGATCTTCCGACTGAACAACGCTCAGGGCGCATCCGTCTACCCTCTCACATTCCCTAGCAAACACGTTAACCACGGCCGACGCGTTCTTGAATGATCTCGAGCCTCTTCTCATGAGCAAAGTCAGCCTCACGATCGGCTCCCCTCCCTCGTTCACCTCCTCGCGTTTACCATTAGTTTTGATCCCGCAAAACTCTCTTGCCTTGCATCTCAGCTGCTCAGAAACTTGCAACTTCTTCTTGTCCCCCATTTTCCCAATATTGTGCCTCATCACGACCGCCCTCTCAAAACAGTGAGGCCCATCCCCTCCTCCTCCGAAGACTTCAACGGCGACATCTCCGTATGTTGCTCGCATGAGGTTTTGAGCCCAAGCCCCCATCTTGCTCCTGAGCTCACCCCAATGGAACAATACCCACCTTGCTGGCTTCGAACATTGGTTCTTCATTGACCACCCAACAAAAGGCGCCACTGCATATAACCCATGCCACAGATTCACGTAGTCATAGTAGGTGTCTGATACGAAGGTCAGGCCCTTCAAGAGAGTGGCTGATTCTGGAAGGCTCTCAGGCCATGTCAAAGCATAAGAGTTTTTGCTTCCATCTTTGCCGTCCCGCCCCTTGATGCATAAGATCCTTCCCTTGGATGCTTGGGAAGGGAAATAGAGGTACTCCGCTTCGTCCTCTTCGACGGTGTCGCTTAACGAGCTCATGAACCAAGTGTTCCCGGACATGGCAGCCTCAACGTCGGCGTATCTCAGGTCCTTGAGAGGGAGGAAAGTGACCGACTCTCGGAGCTTGGCCGTTTGGTTGTCGAGTCTATCGGACCAATCGTCGTTCGCGGTGGAGTCGACCGTGACCGCCGTCCATTCTTTGAAGAATTCCCAAGAAGTAGAACCGGAAGGAGTAGTAAATGCAAAAGACTGGATGTGGAAGAGAATGAGAACTAGAAGCAGGGTCAAGGTGAATAAGACGACGAGCGTAGGCGACTGACAGGAGCTAGCCTTGGAGCGTTTGGTTGATGCTTTTGAGCGATTCTCAATCTCCATTGAGAGAGAGAGAGAGAGAGAGAGAGAAGCCTTATCAAGCTTCTTGAAAGTCTAAGAGAGATTTGACCAAAAAGCCTTTATATAAAGCTTCTTGAAAGTCCAAGAGAGATGTAGCCTTGAAATGTTGACAATATCACATGCATGTACCATACTTCATTCCGTCGTTTAAATACGTGGCTCTAGTGCCGTCCCTCGAAAGGCACTGCGCTTCCGCAGGAAGAGGCCGAACTCGCTAACAAGCAAACGCATAAGCGTGAAACAAAGTCAAATTCAGGAAGAGGCCGAACTTTATCCATGGTTTGACCTCAAACAAAATGATAAAATTTCCCTACCCAAGTCGACCGATTCAAAATAGAACCTCAAAAACCGTCTGCTCCAGTATCTATTATGAACCCCAAGGTCTAGTCTTCAAAAAATTTCTGTCAATGCCTACGTATAATACGACAATGCATTTGCAAGATCTTTCTTAGGAGATCTGTGCCTGGATATATTTAAATAGGTGCTAGAGCAGTACGTAGATGGCCATTCAAATGAGAGACCAAAAGTTTAATACGAGTAGGAACTGGTGCTTTGGGTTAGTGTAAGTCCTTATCTGACGAGAAAATATTCAGTGCCAACTAAGCACCACGTCATCGTCCTACGTGGTGCGCATGTTCCATTCAAAGGCCGACACGTGTCGGCTTGGCTGGAAAATAGAAAATTAAAAAAGCTTTCTTTTCTTTCTCTTCGCGGGCAGGAAAGGACTGAGCGATTGAGCAACAATAAATGCTGAAAATTAAAATCGCGCTTCAATTCTCTCTCTCCGCTTTTCAATTTTCGACTTTACTTGCTCTAGAAGGATAACGAAGAGACTCTCTCTCTCCAAGCACTCCGATCCCGAGCCCCCTGTTCGCTTCCGCCTCCGGAGCCCCATCGAAGGCTCTCTCTCTCTCTCTCTCTCTCTCTCTCTCTCTCTCTCTCTCTAGCACTCCCCCACCGCCTCCGCCTCTTCCAAAAGCCCCACCGGTTGCTCCAAGCTCGAGATCCGCCTCGGCACATCGCCTCCCAAAAGTCCCGCCGGTCGCGGCTGCTGGATCCCGAGCCCCCTCCGCCTCCGCGTCAACCATGAGAGAAGCCTTTTGCTTTCCATTTTGGGTCAACCACCATGATGCAAGCTTCGTGTCTCTCATCCTTCCTCGGCATTTGCTGAAGAGAGGGTAAAAATTAACTAGTGCTTTGGAGGTGAAAATGTATCCTGTTTCCTCCAACATTTAGACTATGTCCAATTTAAATCTTTTGAAAAATTAAAAGACAGACAATGACATGCACCGTGCAGGTCGCAATTTGCAATCTATTGAATAGGCTGAGACCTTTTTACGCAAAAGATAGAACAAGATCAAATTCGACCTTTGCCAAGATCAAAACGTAAGCTATGGACTTATTGTACATAAACACAATAGACATTTCTAAATTTTTCTTAGTGAAATTGGGTGGCGTGACTTGCTGGTGCTTCAAGTAAAGATATATAAATGAAAGAGACGGATCCTTTCCTTCCAAGAAATGCATCTTTGTTCTTAGGTTAGAACAAGAACAAGAAAATCGTCATGACCTGCAATTGCACCTCACCTTTTGCGAGTGAATTATTGTTGCATGCCAATAGGGGGTTGTAGGGGCCCTAAACTGATCATTTCATAGGCACCACTCATATTCATAACTCGGTTTAAGCTCTGGTATGGTTTTTACCACTAAAAGTTTACTAGGAAGCTCCAAAAGGAAATTATGGCGCTCCATGGAAGCAACCTTGCAATATCCCGATCTCCTTACAACAAGACGGAGCCAAATCTTGGCTGTTTATCATCAAGCTTAGCAAGGTAAACAAATTTCAGTTCACAAGTATAACATAGACAAAGCCTTCTTCCTTCAATATATTGCCTTCTCACAATATCATGCACACCCGCTGATGGGGAAAATCTCAGCCAGTCCTCTCACACGCTCCGCCTGAATGAACGCAGACATCCAAAAGCAGGACCGCTCCCTTAAAGCCATCGGCTGCTTCAGAGCCTAGTGAAGATAGTTTCATTGAAGCTACAGAAACTCCATTATATTTTGTTCCATCCTTCTCGCCTCAGCAACAAGATGGACACTTAAATTCCCATTTTACCAAGTACAAACCGCCTACGGATATCATTGCTTAAGCTTATAAAGGAAAACAAAAGAAACACAACCTTGTTCTCGAAACAAATGGCTGCTCCAGAGCAAATTAATCACCTTTTCCATTTTACCAAACTGCCTACCTAAAATTCTACATCATTGCCAAGTTTATAAAGGAAAACGAGAAGAGAAAAAACGATCCTTTGTTCTCGAGAGACAATACGTTCAGTAAAAAAAGCGCTAGTTAATTTTTACCCTCTCTTCAACAAATGCCGAGGAAGGACGAGAGACATGAAGCTTGCATCATGGTGGTTGACCCGAAATGGAAAGCAAAAAGCTTCTCTCATGGTTGACGTGGAGGCGGAGGGGGCTCGGGATCTAGCAGCCGCGACCGGCGGGACTTTGGGGAGGCGACGTGCCGAGGCGATCTCGAGCTTGGAGAGGCGGTGGGGCTTTTGGAAGAGGCGGAGGTGGTGGGGAGTGCTAGAGAGAGAGAGAGAGAGAGAGAGAGAGAGAGAGAGAGAGAGAGAGAGAGAGAGAGTTCGATGGGGCTCCGGAGGCGGAAGCGAACAGGGGGGGGGGGCTCGGGATCGGAGTGCTGGAGAGAGAGAGAGTCTCTTCGTTAACCTTCTAGAGCAAGTAAAGTCGAAAATTGAAAAGCGGAGAGAGACAATTGAAGCGGGATTTTAATTTTCAGTATTTATTGTTGCTCAATCACTCAGTCCTTTCTTGCCCGCGAAGAGAGAGAAAAGAAAGCTTTTTTAATTTTCTATTTTCCAGCCAAGCCGACACGTGTCGGCCTTTGAATGGAACATGCACGCCACGTAGGACGATGACGTGGTGCTTAGTTAGCACTGAATATTTTCTCCTATCTGACTGTTAGGCGGAAAACTTAACCAGATTAACACTTCTCCTGCCCCAGGTACATCAACCCGAGATGGCAGAGGGACACAATCCCCCATCACCATGCTAGCTGAACCTCGGTTAGAACTTAAACAGAACCGGCACACATCCCCATATGAACCACGTAGATGATGTTAAAATTAAACGGATGCCTCGCGACAGGTTGAAAGAGTCGTAAGTAGAGACATAAAAACACGACCTTCAAGAGCAGCAGTCCTTTTTCCTTCCTGAGGCAAAGAGCAAGCTGGCTTGAGAGGCAAAAGCACAGTACTCAATAAACTATTTACATTCTCTGTACAATGATTCCATCAGTTCACATGGTTAGTTTTTCAGACCATTATTGAAATGCATAAAAGAATAAAAGTTACTTAGCATATTTTCAGGATTCAGAGCCAACTATTCCAATTCCACCGAAATCAGCTGGTTATCGTCATCGCTTGCTCCAGGGAGACTATGCCAGACGCAGACGGAACTTATCCCCAACATAAAAGCAATGGAGATGACCATGTTGATGTCATTAGTCGGTCAGCAGATCAGAAAGCTTTACAGAGTGTATTAGACCTCATGTTAGACGAGCACTGTTGTTCTATTGGGCCTGTGGGACTACACAGCCTGCTCCTCTTCGGCTCCGAAATCCTAACTTGTGAGATGGCCACTGAAAGGGCATCCACAAAACCGCATTCGTCAGTCTCCTCGGGTTTGCAGCTCAGACTAGGGGATGACGGAAGGCTTGAGCCTCCATTGGCAGAATCAGAGCATATCCTGCTTCCGTATTGCTCGAGGCCAAGCGCAGCAGCTACTTGCACAGAGGAAGCTGCCACTTGGGTCTTTTGTTTTGACTTAAAGGACAAAGATTTCAATGTGCGCTCTGTGTAGAACAAGATCCAAGGATGCCCTGAAACAATATTAGCAGTCATCTTAACCGATGCAACTGAGAAGAACACACCTTCAGAGTGCAACTTGACATTGCACTGGCTCAGAAGGCAAAATTACGAGCTGCAGCAACAACCAGAGGAATACTTTGCCCAATACAAGCCAACAAGACATAAACTGCAGTTGCAAGTGACTGAGACCAACAAAAGGTCATCTTCATTAATTAATGGACCAAAAAAGGAATGGTGGGATACCAGCTTGCAAGCTGCCATTTTTTCAGCATGGAACTTGAGTTTTTGGTGCGATTGCTCGAAAAACTACCAACTTGAACCTTAGTTCCAGTGTTATATTTGACGCTAGATATAGTCAGAGAACTATGAAAACCATAGATACCACAAGCAGCAATGACCAAAGAAAACAATTTCGGCAATAGACAAACCAAAGCCATGAGCCATTGTTCACTCTGAGAATTACAAATTTCACAAGATAGTAGGTTCAATAGATGTTTGCAAGTGTGGCATAACATTTTTCATCTAAACAACAATGACCGAATTCATCAGTTCAAATTGAAAAAGAAAACACAAAACAGCATCAATAACTTACTTAACACTTCCTCCGCAGTTATCCTAGCTGAAACATCTCTTGTCAGCATTCTTGCAATCAGATCACAAGCAGGTTTGGACACTGACTGCCATATGCCTGACTGAAAATCAAGCTTCACACTCTTGATTGCCTCAAAAACTGCTTCCAGTGAGTCACCTTGAAAAGGAAGAACGCCCAGCAAGAGTGCATATAGCAGGACACCAGCGCTCCATATATCAACTTTCTCAGAATAATTCCCAATCAGAACTTCTGGAGCAACATAAGCGGGACTTCCTGCCAAACCTATTAAGCTCTGACCTGTCATGCAGCATGTGTAAGTATTAGCATAAGACCAAGTGTAGACATGGAAAAACTCTAAGTATCAATATGACTTGAGATCTTCACTGATGATTAGAAACTGCTCCCTTAACTTAACTTGGCATCCACGCATGTTAAAGATTACTTGAAAAAATTCATGACAAAAGAGTGAAAAAGGGTAACTATTAAGCTACGCAAAAGGAAAAGCAACGACTATAGAACATAACCTGTGGAGGAACCACTTCAGTAGAGATGGTTCTCCACAATAATCGATCTCCAAGAATAGCTCATTTTCATGTAAGATGCACCGAAACTCGTAAATATCAATATCGCTTGAGATCTAGACAGAGACAGAAAAAGCTCCCTAACTTAGGTTGGCATACACGTAATGTCAGAGATGATTTTCAAAAAATTTTATGCCAAAAGACAGAATTGAGGACAACAATATGGTATGAGAAGGAGATATAACACCCATAGCACAACCTGTGGAGGAACTATTCCACCAAAAATAATTTTTTTCATTTAGGCATAAGAAAGATGACTGAGAGCATTCAACATATCACCTTACAAGAAACTCAGCTCAAGTACAATAACATCGAAGGTGTCTTGAATTGAAACACTGAGAATGAGAGAACCAACCCATACATCTACAGCCTATACAAAGATTGGATCCACAGTCTTCTTCAAGAACGGATAACCAATAATAATCAAGGACGGACTTATGTGTTGGAACGAGGGGGCTCTTGACCTGACTGATTTCTCTAGAGTTGTAATAACATACTTGAAGGTTCAGAAGCTTTTTAAATAATAATCCATATTTTTAGCCTTAAAATTGAGTTCTGCCCCCATTAAAATTTCCAAAAGAAACATGATAAGTCATTATTGCAAGTGATTTGCCCCGGCAAATTTATTAAATTCATTAAACCATTTTAAAGTTCAACGGTTATAGACAAACATAATTTACATGATATGAATATTTACCAGGCTTTCTAAGTGTAGAATACTGCTTTAATTTCTGACATAAATATACTTGATTTAATTGTAATTGTAGATAATATATTCCCTCACTAAGAAGAAATTCTAGATCCATCTCTGCCAATAATAGCTTTCGCCATCAGAAGAGACTGCAGCTCATCCATATATCTAAAGCATTGTTAAAGCAACAGGGAAGAGAGAGAAACACACCCAAAACTAGGATCATACTAAAAAGACAAGCATACGTCGTCTCTACCCAGATATTTCTACAATGAAGCAATCGACAACAAAAAAAGAAAAGGCTAAACACAAGAACTCCCTGCCAAATTCCCACTACAATTGTTACTGGACTCCCCTTGCTCTGTGAGCCACATTTTTTTTTTTTTCTTGGGGTCATGCTGTGTGCCACATTTCAAAAGCTTCCTTTCTGAGCACAGATGAAGTGAAAGTTCACCTTATATACATGCTCTATCGATTATTGTTTTTCTAAAATTCATCGCTAGCTTTCATTCCATACATAGCCCACCCAAACAGACAGAAAAAGAAAAAATCGGAGCTTGAAATTGGCACCATAATCTCCAGCTATGCAATCAATAATTTTCGTCCTTCTGTTACTTATGTAGTTCTACCTACAGGGTAACCATCTCTGAGTTTTATCATGCATATCTAATCTCTTTTCAGAAAAGGTGATGACTGGGATGAAAAGTTGGCTCCATAAGCTTAATCATCAAGAAGGGCCACCAACAGTCCTTCCTAAAAAATACAAAACACAAAAGGAAGCATATGCAGTCCACTATGATCTTTTGACGCTTCAAAGTGGCCATTCTATCATATATTGCACTCTTCAAGACTAAGATTAAGGAGTTCGCTAAAGAAATTGACGAAGGAAGCCACAAACAAGAAAAAAAGTAAAACTGAAGTCTAAGAGCAAGCAAAATTTCATTAAAGATTCCACACCAGAAGAGAATCTCATGGCCAGTCCAAAATCTGCAAGCTTTAACTTTCCTAAGGTTGTAAGCAGGATATTTTCGGGCTTGATATCTCTGTGAACAACACCCATTTCATGACAATATTTGATGACAAGCATAACTTCCTTCAATATATTTGCAGCCCGCTGCTCTGAAAAGGGACCTTCCTTCACCATCTGATCAATCAAACGTCCCCCAGAGCATAACTCCATCACAAGGTGAAAAGCATCTGGCTCCTCATACACTGCCAGCAATGTCACAACCCCGGGATGGCCCGATAAATGCTGCATTATCTCCACTTCCCGGTGAACTGTATCCTCTCCTTTCTTCAAAGTCTTACAGGCAAATTCCACACCACTGTCCCTAGACCTACAGAGCCAAACAGAACCAAATTTTCCTTGGCCAATTGTGTCACCTGAAATGTAATCATCCTCGATCTTCTTCTTCCGACCCATTCGGGTAGCAACGTCTATACATCCTATCTTCCTCTTTAGACCTCTCCCAGGAGCAACCAAGGACGAGCTGCCACAAGGCGGAGCTGTGGCGATGCCTGCCAGCCTACTTTTACAGGAAGCAATAGGTTCTGCGCCTGCATCCTCTTTGCACCTCTTCTTCAGCCTCGTATAATCTTCCAACGAATAATGAGACCTCAGATTTGACGACTGCAAATCATGGGCAGATCTCGACAGTTCCAGCAGCTGAGTGGACACGTCGGCTTCACTTCCCTTCCTCTTTTTCCTCATCAATACTGCTTAAAAGGGAGCAGTAAATACTATCTGGAAACGCGCACCATATCAATCCAATTTTCAGGAGAACCAGCAAATCAAGCAATCGAGATCAGAGCTACACTCCTCCGCCATCCGATCCTAGTATCAAGAAGAGAGAACAGCCCCATCAGAAAGTTTCATTCGATCAGCCCGTAAAAACACCATTAAGGTCGCGAAGAGGCAATCAGAAATGGAAACAAAAGAAAAACGAGATCTTTTCACTTCCCTAGCAACTCGGTCGTTAAAAACGCTTCAAGACAAACACTCTCCCCTACCACATAGATTACCCAATCAAACAAAGACGGCAACTTTCGCAGCACATAAAATGCAAAACACCCGAGCACCCACGGCACAGATCAAATGAAACTGCGCACACCGCGCGCGCCCAACCAATCAGCAGCAAGCTTCCTAACGAGCAAAAACTCACGAACGGAGAACCAGATCGAAGAGCGGCCGCAGGAGACGGGGGGGGAAGAAAAGAAGAAGAGAGCCCACCTCTCGCCGAGACCGGGCGCGCGCGCATGGCTGCCGACCCCGATCGACGGAACGAAACGGAAAACCGCAATGGGAACCGACAAGCGGCGGCGGCGGCGGCGGCGAAGGCGAATCGGCGCGGCGCCGGGGGAGCGATTGGCCGGGGGCGCCGACGAATCGGGGCAAAACCCTAGAAATCCCGGGACGGAGGAAAAACCCGATTAGGGGCTTCGGCGATGGACGAAAATTGACTGACTGAGAAGAAAACAGTGCAAGGAGGGAGAGAGAGAGAGAGAATGGCGTTCGTGTTAAAGGTTTTTCACCTCCCTTCAGATTTGGCGCAAGGAAGACGGCAGCCGGGTCACGGGCCGGGGCCCCACCTCGGTGACGGTCTCGGGTCATGATCCGGATACCCGTTTTTCTACGGCTCGTGAATCGTGATCTACGTACGCCGTACAAACAGCTCGATCTATCGCAGTTATCTGCATAAAAATGCAAACTTTTTTTTTTTCCGGATAACCCCGTTTTTGCGTTTTGAATTTTTGGATTTTTTTCGAGGATATTGCGGATGGTGGTGATAAAGAGATGGCTTGAAAAATTCAAAAAAAGAAAGATGGCTGGGGGGGACCGCCTCTTGAGAGATCCTTCGCTTGGAAGTAAATAGAAGTACATGGATGTAAATAATTAGTTCTCGAATTTCCCATCGTCTAATTATGTCTCCCAGACCATTCCTGTATAGAAAAGCTCGAGGAAGGCATGCGCTGCGTGCATGCATGGAGCGATATTGTAATGCGTTAAAGAATGTTTGTAGTTACCGAAGAAAATGGATGTTTATAATTTATCTCATGGCCACAAAAGAAAAAGAAAAAGACTATCGTTATCTCTAATTTCTTTCGATGATTGATAGCCTGAGCTATCAATGAAGTATATTCGACGATTATTCCAATTTCAAATTTGTATCGAAACAATTTTGCAAAATGCTTATACCTGTGTTGGCAAGCGATCGATTAGCGAATCTCTTCGTTTTTTAAAATTTAAATTCAAGATAAGTAAGAAGTTTCCAAATCATATCTCATCTTTCTTATTGAAACAGAAAAAATCCTTCAAATAAAAATTTAAAGGTTATTTCATTCTTTCCTCACTGAAAAATTCTATTTCGCTCTTGCTCGTATGCACTGCATGTGTACTCCTTTCTTTAACTTTTCGCCATCCCACCATCACTTAAAATTTTTTTTTCTCGAGTGTTTTAAATATATAAACACTGTCTCCTTGGGTACACATTTAAAACTTCACGAATCTTTTTGATGCGATTTATTTGTGCTACACAAGTGCTAAGAAAAGCCGTTTGAAATGGTACCGTCAAATTATTGAGATACTCAGACACGGCATATACATAAATACAATTGCAAATCCAATTGGGTTTTACATCTAATCTCGCCTTTTAAAGTTAATATCGTAATTAATTGCTCCGGATATATATAAATATATAACTATATATGGAGGAAAAATAAAATAATAACGAGAAGAAAAAGGCCGTCATTCATTTGACTCGTGCAAGTGAGGGATTGGAGCGCGCGCAGGGGAAAGTGTGCTGTCGTTGCGTGGAAAAAGACCGACAGCGGGGACCGCCTTTTTGACGCACGTGATGTGCGACGCGACGTGGTGCCCACGCGCGTGGGATGATGGGGCTTCCCCGGTTTCGACTCGCCGCTAGATTTCCCTCCCGACACCCCGTCCGAATCTGTGCCCTGTACGGAACGCGCACACGTCCGCCGGAAAACCCGCGCCGCCGGTCGCTTTGCTTGATATGAATAAAAATAGCCCTATTCCCACTCCCTCTTTTGACCAGGACCCTTTCCGTCTTCGTGCTTTGACCATACCATTCTTAGTATAGCTCACCACTTCTATTACGACTCTACAAACAAGATCAATTTCTTTGTACGATCAAATATTTTTAATTTGTTTCGTTTTCTTGTCCATGCGAATCCCACTTTCCTCTTTCTTACTTCTTCTTTCTGTTGCGCACGATTCTATTTTGGGTTTCTAGTTCAATTCATTTCAAGCAATTTTCATGACCTAGCACGTTGTATTGTTGCTTCTCTAAATTCCAACTTTGCAATCCTATGAAATCTCACGGTTCGCTTGCATTCACGCTAATAAATATTGAATGCACAAAAATAAGAAAAAAGATCATCCCCCATGTTGTTGCCGACCGCCTCAGGATGTCAATTACCAACAAAGCAAGAGTGAGTGAAACAATGGGTTAAACAAGTATAGATGATGAATCCCAACAAACGCACAATTACGAAATGGCCAACTGGCTTGAAGTTTAACTCTACAAACAACTGTAGTCTATGGCTAAAAACAACAACTGCAATACCAATGAAAGAGAACAAATGCATCATTGTAGCGGTGTGTTTCGAGAAATTAATCTTTGAAAGCATAACACTTGGACACTGCATTGAAAACTCCAATATAGTCAAACCACTAATCCGAATTCCGCTTCATATCATCTAAAGGTACACAACTTGCCTATTGACCTAGACTTCATGTAGGAGACACATATTCTTTCTCAACATTCACATTTTCAAGAAGAAGAGAGAAATATCCGGAAAAGAGAAAAGAGAGAGCCGGTGCTTCTCAATATTACCTTCCATATTGCAAGAAGAGGCTGCGTGTGGCGGCAAAAAGGGGCTCATTGGCATGGGCAACGGTGAACCCAATGCTGGTGCCAACGATATTGTGTAGAACAACAGGGTTGGTGTCGTAAATATTCACCTTCTCAATGCCCAACAACTCGAGGAGTAGGAAGGCGTAGAAAGAAAGAATAGCTTGTAAGAGAAAAAAATAAAGAGACGAGAAGAAGTGAGAGGTCAAAGGCGTGAAAAGAAGAAACAAAATAAAAGAGTTAACCAAACAAAAAAGGGAACCACTAAAGATAGTACAGCCAAAACACAAAAATAGGGAGTGTTCGAGTTTTTTTTTTTGGTCGAGAAGGAGTGCAAAAAACAAGGCCCATAAAAATACTATAGTGTGAGTTTATGACCTTCAGAGGCACCGCATGATTAGTTATAAGGAAATCTGTTACTTTTCAATCAGACGGAGATAGATTACAAGAGCGGCATTCCATGTGAATTGCACAATAAACTTTGAGTGGGATCAGATGTACAAAACCCGATTGTGTATCTACTGTCGGTGGTCGGTCGTAAATCTCAAGCTTTGGCGAAGTTTAGATGATATCATGCTTATCTCTATGTGGTGGAGTTGCATATTTATACAGGAACACCCAACGGCTTTCAATACATTAAAACACAATTATTTTTTTGGTCAGAGATTAAAACACAATTTGCTGTCTAGAATTATATATATATTTTTTTTTGTTCGTCCTACTCTAACTCTCAACTCACTCTGAGACTTTTGCTCTGCCTCTTGCAGACTACACGTTCCCACTCTTAGCCCTCTTTGAGAAGGTGGACATTCGAACTCTCCACCTTCCCCTTTCCAAGTAGGAAGGGTGGCCACTAGGGCAAACCCTAGTGGTTTAGAATTATATTGGCATTCGTGCTTTTTGACGATGTAGAGATATGTGAAAAAAAAACGGCTTTCTAATGGTGTACTCATACGTCCACCTCGGATGTTTAAAACAAAATCGATATTTTAATTCTTTTTTTAGTCAAAAATTGATAATTTAATTGACTCTAATAAATACCAAGACTTTTTCAGTGATGGAAAATCCGATTGCAGAACTTTCTGTCTTATGTAATACCTTAATTAGTTTGAAAATATCACATTAGTACATCTCTTGGGGGCAAAACTCACATTGTAATATTGTTATTTTCTGCCTAATTAAAAAAAAAAACACCAACTTTAGATTGAGTGACAATTTTGATCTCAATTTTTTTTGTCTAGTAAAAAAGCACTAACTTTAGGTCTAGTGACAATTATGGCCTCAGCTTTTTTTTTTTATCTCGTAAAAAATCACAAACTTTCACTTAAATCTCAAATCTGACCCCTATTGACTTAAAATCATTGATTATCCAACTTGATTATTCCACCTCAGTAATAAATCCACGTGGCTTGCCGATTGGATTTAAAGCATTATTTATTGTTTTCTTCTCTAAGCCACAACTTGAAGAATAACGGTGAAACTGTTCATCTCCTTCACTTCACCGGCAAGTCAAAAAGATCTCCAGATTGAATCTCTCTAGCCAGATTTAATCTGAAGCTGTAGACTATCGCTCATTGACAGACGCCATGGACGAGATCTTCCAAGCTCACGTCCATAATCTTTTTTCTTAAATAAGGGTGACTTCAGACAGAGAGTCAACGGGGGGCTATATTTGGGATAAAGGTGAAAGTTGGTGATTTTTTATGAGACAAGAAAAAGATGGGGCTATAATTGTCACTTGACCTAAAGTTGATATTTTTTTACGAGACAAAAAAAAAATTAAAGCCAGAATTGTCACTCGACCTAAAATTTTATATATTTTTTTTTTGGAATTATCCCTATGATTTTCCGGACACTTTTTCCTTTTTGAGGAACAGCATCGAAGTGATAAAAGCCCTACTGTCACCCTCTCCCCTGCTGCACCTCCTTCGCCCGGAGAAACGCCATGGCTCAGCGCTTGCCGGGCTTAAACCCCGTCAAAACCCTCAAGACCGACCAGCATGGAAGACCCAACAACACCCACCTTCCGCAGAATTCGGTTTCTTTCTCGAAAGCGAAGTCCAAGTCTCGGAATTTCTCTCCCCTCTGTTTGTCAGCGGCGATGGCGGCAAGCCAAGGTCGGGACCAGAAGCACTTGTCCCTCGATGCCCTGACCAGCGGCAGCCGCAAAGACGAGGTCTCTGAAGCCATCAGGAGCTCCTTGTCGAATTGCCTCTCCGAGACGGATCTTCACTTGACGGTTCCCGGTCTCAAGTCCAAAACCCGAGGCAAGGTAATCAGTTTACCGTCCGGGTCGTGTTGGGTTTTCCGGTTTGTTGTTTCTTGAGGCTACTGAGTAAGTTTTAAGTCGTGACTGGTGGTGCATTAGCGGAAAGATTTAATTGTTTTCGACCAGTTGATTCAAAACAGCAATATCTTTGCGTGAATTCGCATACCAGCTTTTACTTTTTGTGAAGAATAATCAGTCATTCCTACGGGATTGTTATAAATGTGAAATCCGGGATGCTGTGATCCCACGGAAATGCATAAAAGTTAGTTTTCTTCTTGAAGTTCTTTTTCCATTTGTTTAATCGCTAGAGAGGAGTAAATTTTGGTACTGCTTGATGTTAAGCACATACTATCTCAGGTCAGGGACATCTATGACGGTGGCGATTATCTTGTCCTAGTGACAACCGATAGGCAAAGTGCATTTGATCGGATTCTCGCTTCCATACCTTTTAAAGGACAGGTGTGTTGAACTGCTATACTTACTCTCTGCATTTTAGCGTAGACACTTACCTTTTGTTCTTATGGTGATTATGAAATGGTCTATGTCGTGTGAAACTTTGTAGGTCCTCAACGAAACGAGCTTGTGGTGGTTTGATAAAACGAAGCACATCACTTCGAATGCTGTAGTAGCATCTCCTGATAAAAATGTTACAATTGCAAAGAAGTGTTCCGTGTTTCCAGTTGAATTTGTTGGTGAGTTATTGCTAGCTTTTGATTTGGCTGACCATAAGACGTACAGGCTCAGTAGTGTAGAGTAATATTGGATGTGATCCTTGACAGCCCTAGTAAGGCAGTATGTCGTATCCACAGATTGCTTTCTGATGTCATTGCATTTTACATTTAATATGATTAAAGTCCTTAGTTGAGGTACTTTTTTAACAATACTTAAATCAAATTCGTCTGTAGGACGCACTATTTGATCCAACTTTAATTCTTAAATTGCAGTCAGAGGTTTTGTGACTGGAAGTACTGATACATCATTATGGACTGTCTACAGAAAGGGAATCCGTAATTATTGCGGCAATGCTCTCCCAGATGGTGTGTTTTCCTCCATCTACTTCAAGTTTGTTCTGATGTTTCTTTTGCCATCATTAAACGATGTTATAATACATTTAGGATTGCTGAAGAACCAGAGGCTGCCTGCAAATATATTGACACCTACAACTAAAGCGGCAGATCATGATGTACCTGTTACACCAGAAGAGGTTTGCTCACATTATCTAAATAAAGCTGCTTTCAGTAGAGACTCTAGAAATTAGAATAGATAGAGATGTTTAGGCTTGATATGTGTGTGTGGCGCGCGAGAGAGAGATCGAGGGAGGGAGGGAGCTGATGGAACCTGATAACTCTTAATTTAATACTTTGGTCCACCTTTTCTTGCACCTGCTTACTGAGTTAGCTTATTATATTGCATTTGCATTTTCCTATCAGATTGTTGAAGGCGGGCTAATGACTCAAGATGACTACGATGAAGTCAGTGTGAAAGCATTGAGGTTGTTTGAGTATGGACAGGTGACTTCATTTTACTTTGTTGGCTGCACTTGTTTTGTCCCCTTTTTTTTCAATCACTTGGATATAATAATCAGGAAAGTTACCTTTTGCTGGTGCACTGGTCTATTTCTTTCTAAATTTTTCCTTTTGGTGTATGAGACTGAATTCAAAGGAAAGGTGTCCAGAATCATGTCATGAATTTTAAACTTTCTCACCTAGCATTTTAGTGAATTTTCCCCTTCGTTGTGTCTTACATGAAATGCTTGAAACCTAAGAAAAGGTGAATTGTTATTGTCTTCTAGCTTCTTGACTATTAACTGTTGGATGGAGAGGCATGGGTACTCAAGAAATGTAATGGTTTGGTACTGTTGAGTTCTTCACTTCAGCGGGCGTTAGTATTTAGTTTTCATTTCAGAAGTATTGTAAGCGGCCACATGATGATATTTGAAGGTTGGCAGCATTGGGCTTCTGGCACTAACATTTTATTTGTTGATGGGAGAAGTCTTAGCCCCAGTACTGTTTCCATCACGAATTTTTTGGCTGCAAATATACACAATTTTAGAATACGTGTTGCTTCTGATGCTGATGCGATGTCCCATTTGATGATTCCGATTTCCTTGCCTAATGCATATGGAGAGGGCGTTTTGCGTGTATCCTTGGGAACTAGTTGAACGAAGGTTCGGATGCCCATATTATAAAAGAAAAAAGAAAATAATTTCTGCGGGGAGGTGATTGCCTATCAGTGCCGAGTTTTTGCCTGTGTTTTCATGTGAATGTTTGGGTTCTAGTCACAAATGTTTCAAATGGAAATACTCCTGTTAATGTTATCGTAACAATCATATTCAGTCTTTACAATCTAACACAACTGCTCACTAAAAGTGGAAGTGCTGTCCACCTTACTTTGCAGCGTGTCACTTCAGAGCATGGCCTCATATTGGTGGATACAAAGTATGAATTCGGGAAGGCTGAGGACGGTTCCATTCTTTTGATAGATGAGGTTTACTTTTCCTCCTTCCATTTCCCTCTCTTGTACGCACCGACACATTGGCAGTGTTTCTTACTGACTATATCAGAATAGGGTATTATATCATGACAGTGTTATTTTTTTTGGCTTGGAAGTACAGGTGCATACTCCTGACTCAAGTAGATATTGGATAGCGCAGTCTTATGATGAACGGTTTCAAAATGGTCTTGAGCCTGAAAATGTCGACAAGGTACACGATATTGTCCCTGGTTCTGGTCTTTTTTACTGTTATGGGGTACAGAAGCGAAGGCATGTGCTGTGCTGCTGTGAAAGGGTGGCTGAAGGGATGAGTAGCAATTTCCTTGGATGTTCTATGGATGGATCATTTTAATGTCTTCATTTGTCCTCTTGAAGTGTTCCTGCAGTATCTGAATTTTATTCTCAATATGTAGGAGTTCTTGAGGCTATGGTTCAAAGATCATTGCAATCCCTATGAAGATGAGGTACTTAACTTGAGGAAGTACTATTGGATTTTCTTACGTTTATGCTTGACAGGAGATTGTTTATCTAATCTTGCTTGGTTTAAATTTCAGGTACTGCCTGAGGCCCCAGAAGAACTTGTTGCTGAACTGGCATGGAGGTATGTCTTACTTGTCATTTGGCATTTAAAACATTCTCTTTATGAACATTTAGTGAAAATCCCTGCACTATAGTTCTCCGGAAGTCACATTTTGCTCAATTATACATTGTGAAATCTGTAATTCATAAAAAAGTAATAAACTAATAGTCAAAGTTGGAATTTTGCCTGCAATAGCTGCATGTTTGCGAAGAGATCTCCCCGGGTAAAAAAGGAAGAGTGATTGTGCTGCTTCTGTTGTGCTTTAGTTAAGGAGCCTCAGAAGCTATAGTTAATAGGTAATGTGGTGGATAGGACGGACTTATAATGATCTTCCTTTACTTCCTGAAACACAAACGATGCTTTATGGCAGTTCTGTTCTGTTTCTCCAATTGTTTTGATAGCTGTGTTTACAAACCTAGGCGGATAACAAGTGGAAATAATTACTGTCGTGAATATTGCTTGGCAGATACATTTTCTTGTACGAGACAATTACAAATTCACCATTTGAAATACCATTGACCGAGGTAAAGTTTTCTCCGAAAGCTGAGATTTTGTCAGGGCATGGAATCACTCCAGCCGCTATTGACATCATATGAATGCCAAATTGATAAAATTTAATGCCTGGCCAGGAACCTGTTCATGACCGGATTTCACGAAATGTCGCATTGGCATTGTCGTCTTTGTAAGGATTTTTTCATTGGCTCCACATGGTTCTTCAATAAGGCACTCAACCGAAACATCTATTCCTCGGATACCTGCAACTAGCTGAGAGTCCGCCAAATTCACTTGCGCGTGACCAACCAACTTCTCCTGATGGGACTGCTACTTAATCCGACGAGAGGGTCTTGTACTCCTTATGTAACGACTTAGTACAAATTTTATTTGTGTAATCATTTTTGCTTTGCTTCTTATTATTAACGTCTTATCTGCAGCTAATCGTTTGGATTGGCATGTGGAAAACATTTCATTTGGGAAATTTAACAAATGGTACTCTACTAGTATAGATAGCTTTGTTGAAAAAAGAAGATAAATTTGATCTTGTGATTGCGTGGGAAATTTGCACCACATGATTTTCTTTATGGAGACTGCTAATTCAACTGACCTTTTAGTGCCGAGGTTACGTTTGTGGCCAAGATCTAAAGTTATAAGATATTTCCATCTCTCTCTGTCTCTCTCTCTCTCTCTCTCTCTCTCTCTCTCTCTCTCTCGTTTTATGCTTGGAAGTGTGACCAACTAGTGATGGTATTCATCCTTGGGCCAGGGCGACACGTGCGATCATCTTCCTATTCAATCATTGTTCATCATCGAGAAGACGGCGAGTTCCTTTTCGTACTTTTGTTTTGGTTGAAGACTTCTCATACTGAAGAAGAAGATTTTTTCACTTACATTTGTCTGAGCAATGGTCAAAACAAAGCTTGATCACGCAATCCCCGCATAAGTAACGGTCTGGGTCAACAATTGCTTTGGCACAAACACCAAAAATGGTTGATGGAGGAGAGGTGAAGTTGCTTGGGTGGTGGGGGAGCCCGTATGCACTGAGAGTGATATGGGCATTGAAGCTGAAACAAGTCCCTTACGACTACTTGGAAGAGGATCTCCTCAACCAGAAGAGCTCTCTGCTCTTGCATTACAATCCGGTCCACAAGAAGGTCCCGGTTCTCGTCCACCACGGGAAGCCGATCGCGGAGTCCCTCATGATACTCGAATACATCGACGAGACGTGGAAGCAGAGCCCTCTCCTTCCCCAGGACCCCTATGAGAGAGCCAGAGCGCGTTTCTGGGCCAAATTCGTGGACGACAAGGTAAAGGAACGAGTGCTTCTTCCACTCTATGCGCCAGCCTTATTTATTTATCTTTCGTTGGTTTCATCACTATGTGATTTAGATCGTTGATGAGTAATGCTTTTGTTGAGAATAATCTCCGTAGGATGCTTTAGATCAATCTTTTTGAGCCACGCGCGTAGAGGAGCTCCATTCTTGAGAGTATAGTAGATGTGAAGTAGCACCCTGAAATTGTAACGCTAATGATTGAAAGAGGAACATTTTGTCAGCACAAGTCGATCTCTAATACATGGAAGGTTCCTGTCACAGTGTTTGCCGGCTATTAAGGCTGTGTTCTGCAGCAAAGGCGAGGAGCAACGAAAGCTTGTATTAGAAGCTCGAGAGACCCTGAAAAACCTGGAGAGCGGACTGGAGGGGAAGCTGTTCTTTGGGGGCGAGGCGATCAACTTTGCGGACGTTGCTACAGGCTGGATTGGTTGTTGGGCTCGAATGGTCGAGGAAATCACCGGCACCAGTCTCATCGATGCTGAGAACATGTCTTCACTCGATGCTTGGTCCAAGAGGTTTCTGGAGCTACCTGTCATCAAGGAATGCTTGCCTCCATGGGATAAACTGATAGAGCTCAATTTTGGGTTCCTCAATAAGTACCTTGCTTCATTGAAATGATCTTTCTTCGCTACCATTTCCAAATTCTTTAGGACTGCTTTAAAGGGACTGCAGACGATTGTGTATCTCCAGCTCATGATAATATAGCATGATCTGATGACAAAGCATATTGTATGCTTCCGTTATGTTACTCTCTTACGTGAATATGCATAGTGCAGCTTGCTCATACATGTTGAACCTCTCCATTCAAAATCCAGATACATGGAGCGATGGGGTTCTTGTGCCGATGAATTGCCATACAACAGAAATTGACATCAGAAAAGCGATGAATTGCCATACAACAGAAATTGACATCAGAAAAGCGAAACGATTCCTGATCATAAAGCTTATACCCTATCACAGATGATAGAAGTATTGTCATACAGGCAACTAAAACTTTAGACTCTCCTCTGATATGATATTTCATTCGTCTCCTTTTCACTCCATTCTATTCTCCAGCAAAATGACAGAGAGCAAAATTCTTCCTCAGCGGTCTGATAGGACAGAGAATTGATGCGTGCGAAGTCTGACTTACCGCAAATTAGCAACAATCGCATTGTTAATTTACACTTGTCAAAGTCATAATGTGCTGATGGACTAGTGCGGCGAACCTGTGAGGATAGCATCAATGACGAGCAATTTGTCACATGGCATCATAATCTAAGTTTCCAATCAATCGCTGCTCTAGAAAGAAGGTATGGTTTGAAACAATGAGTACACAACCTCTAGTCAACAAGAGATGATCAACCCACCTTATAAATCAATCTTATTAAATGAGTGGTCCATTCAATCAACCATGAACCTAATCGACACAGCTTCACTATAACAATCTCAGGACGATCTCAATGCTCTCAGGCCGACCAATACCGTTTACATCCACATGTTCCACAAAAACACCTGATAAAAAGAATGATCAAGGAGAGGGGAAAAAATACCAGAGATAAATATGCAATAACACACACTTATTTGTGATCAACTGAAAGTAATTGCCTGAGAATTGCTTTCTGTTCTTCGTTTTTTATTTTCTACACTAGAATGGCTGCTAAATTTGCCAGCTTGAGGTATATTGCTGAGACTGTCGACTTCATATGCAGGCGAAAAGTCAGTCAACTCCGTCTTTTCTTTTGATTCGTACTAGTCAATCTCATCTTGTTGCCCTGTGGCCGGGGTGACTAAATTCCAAACTAGGCTCATTCATGCATGACTGGAAACTTACATGAACAATCCATCCCGCACCTTGTGAAGAGAAATTTCTATAAATATCAGCACAAGATCACAGTAGCTTTTGCAGAAAGAAAACCAACAGATGGCCGAGGTGAAGTTGTTTGGGTTCTGGGCGAGCCCTTTTACCATCAGAGTCTTATGGGCTTTGAAGCTCAAACAAGTTGCGTTCGACGAGTGCGTGGAAGAAGATCTTGTGAACTATAGTTCCACGCTTTTGCAATACAGTCATGCTCAAAAGAGGACTCCAATTCTATTCCATCAGGGAAGACCGATTGCCGAGTCACTTGTTATTCTTGAGTATATCGATGAGACATGGAAGCAGAAGGCACTCCTTCCACAAGACACCTATGACAGGGCCAAAGCGCGTTTCTGGGCCAAATTCGTAGATGATAAGGTAATGCTGCAGCAAGAGAAGATGCTTTTTACTATGTGCTGCTTTTTTATTTCCCCAAAATTTACCAGATTTAGCTGCTCACCATTTAATACCTTGATGATCAGTGCATGCCGACAATTATGAGTGTGATCACTAAGAAAGGAGAGGATCAACAGAGGGCTGCAAAAGAAGCTCAACAAAATTTGAAGATCCTGGAAGGAGGATTGGAGAGGAAGCCATTCTTTGGAGGCGACACTATCAATATTGTGGACATCGCTGCTGGCTCGATGTGGTGTTGTGTAAGAGCGGTGGAAGTACACATAGGGATAAACCTTGTCGATGCAGAGGACATGTCTTTGCTCAATTCTTGGTTTCAGAGCTTCATCGATCTACCGATTATCAAGGAACGTGCACCCCTCTGGGACGCAATTCTAGAGCACAAGGAAGGCCTGCAAAAGATGTTGATGGCTCTATCCACATGAATGTTTGTCCATGCTACCATTTCTGGCCTCCAGAAGACGATAGCTCTATGAACATGTTTATTTAGTGTTCCCTATTATGGTCTTGATATGGTTATATTTCAACTGTCAATCAAGAAAGCTTTATGTATTGAAAGTAAAAGAATAAAACCAAATAACATGTTTTTGCTCTACAAAAGAGGAGTTGCATGTTAGGTAATAAGAACACCCATCAATAACTGATTAAGATGCCGATGATTTCCATTCTATCACCTTGAAGTTCTACAATTCATTCCTGCAAGAACGTCCGTCCTTACGTCATAGAAATAGTCTCATCATCCAATTTAGATTTTCTGCTCTCCATGAAAGATGTAAGAAGCCGGCATCCCAAGATGTACCCCAGGCTATAATATATATAAAAAAAATCGAATGACCCAAGCAACTGACATGTTTGATACAACAACATGGAACTTTACTAAGATTCCGAGGATTCTCAAAGTATCTTAAAAGGGCAAGTAAAGTACCAGGTGTTTGACAAAGTTTCAACACAGCAGAACCTCGTAGAATTAAGGCCTTGATCATGTTCTGACTTTCATCTGTTCCTTCTTAAGCATTTGCTGTGTCTCTCAAATTGCATCTGCCTCCTCGCATCTACACTGCACACAGGCAATGAGTCAGTTCTCTCTCTACCCTTACCTTCCGCAAGTTATACCAAGAACCTTGGAAACTCTATTATATCTGCCACATTTGGACTCCCACACCGCAGATTCCACTCATACTTAATTCATTTGGTTTCTGAATTCTTGCTGCTCAGAGCTCCCTTTCCTTTTAGTATAAAAGCCATTTGAGAACGTATAACCAAGAAAACTACAAGGAGAAAGATTCTTTTCAACATTAGTTTCAGGGCTAGCCAAAATCTCTTTGTAAATCCTCTCCGAGCAACACCCAATTTCTCGGCTCTTGCATTTTATTTCACAGGTTGTCAATTGGGACAAGGAATCTTATTTTGTTTCATTTCTTGGATAACAGCAACAGATTCTCGCACTAAAATTAAGCAGTGTAAAGCTTGGTCATCTCATCATAGTAGCGAGTTTGCGACCAAAGTCAGATGATACAGGTTAACCATAAAATGCCCCAACTTTTTCAGTTCGCCTCACTTCTAGATTCTACATAACCATAAAGAGCATGGAAACTTGCAACTGTTTAGCAAAGTTTACTAATATGCGCAAAATAATCTTCTTCGTTTGTCTTACTCTGGGCATCCATATTCAAGGTGACTCATGCCATGATCTTAGGCTGACATCAGAAAACCACTTCGGCTTTCTAATCATGTTGAGATCCGTACATTCATTTTATATTCTGGACGCATTAATATGATGCATGAACTGCTTGATAGCATCATTACAAAACTGGGAACATTTTGAAAGCCGAGGTATTCACAAGCTTGAGCATAGGTACCTTATGCAACCAAAGCACATTTTACATGCAGCTCCCAGGTTTAACCGAAACAAGATTCTCCCAGATCTGCTGAAATAGTAAAGAGAGGATTAACCATCACAACTGGCTGCGTAAAAACAGATCAATTGCGATGGTTGCAGCACATTATAATGGCTTTTGACTTAAACCGAACCATAAAAGCAGGCTAGCAGCATGATTGCTACTTAATTGAAAGATGTGATGAAACTTAAAACAAGAGCTTGATAGAATTCAGGTACAAATTTAATTGTAATGAATAATTGCCCTTGCCGTTGTGAGAGAGGTAAATTTTAAGTCTGTCACATGTGAAGCTATTGAGTTCGGTGTTCTCATCTTTATATAGTTTCAACAGTCAGTTTAGAGCTGTAAACATTAAGACAAAAGTAGATATGGCAGAAGGAAAAACGTGCTGCTTTTATTAAGCAGATCGCATCGTTGTCATCATCATCTAACCATAGAGCAGCTACTAACTTATGAATTTCTTGTCGGAAGATAGCAAAATTTGTGAAATTTAATGTGTCCTGTTCACTTTGTTGGAGCTTTTTGTAATTTGGTTTTTCTTTCTTGGTAGTTTGGTTTGGTGGACAAAGTGAAGGCCTATATATGAAATTAAACGTATATCAAAGAACAAGCTAGATGTATCTCAAAAAATGATCTTTGACTTCTTTGCCACCATCCTGCAAGGTGATCTCCCTACCTTTAATGGTCGATTAATAGGGCCAGAAATCTAGAAGTACAGTATTTTTTCTAATAGAAAGTCACCAGTAATGTGTCTCTGTTACATTGGATTTTCTGAATGATTATGTCAACTTATTTGTTGATCAGCTGCTTCAATCAGTCTGGTGATTCCATGTCATTGTCTCAATTACCACGACCGTATTAGATGCAATAAGATTCTCTTCGGTCAATTCAGGCTATTCAGCTTCAATGAAAAGGAAGAAACATAAACAAAAGGGCTAATTGCGAATGAAAAAGCAAAGAGGTTTATTCTGAAACTCCATGGCTTTTGTCATTGTCCCCCTGTCTTGCTCATCACTATATAGTTGCTTTCCTGCCCAAAGCAGAGTCTCTGTGTGGTGCAGCTCCAAATTTTGGTGTTGGATGTATTATACAATCGAACATACCACATTTCATTATCGCATGCATATAAGAAGCAACACAAATCCTCAATTACGATTTACAATTCTGTTTTTTTCTTTTAACTCGCCCTTTTTCTTGAATGGATTTTTTATTGTTTTCCCTCACGTTGTTACAAATCCATGTTTCTAAGATGGCAAAAATGGACTCGATAAATTATGCTACAATGCAGATCACTAATGGCAGCGCTGCGGGACAGTATGCAATTGCAGGCTGACAGTAATCACCTTGTAAATAATGTAGAAGGCCCTCTTGTTACTTTCATATGACACTCTCAGGCCAGAATTATGACAGATACAACGGCTGTCTAAGTATGAACCTTGTCTCTCATTTTTTTGCCCTGAAGGCCTTGTAAATGCATTTCGATCTCTGGAGGTCTAATCTGCTGCTGCTGCTGCTGCTTCTTCTTTTTCCTTGTTTGCAAGTTTAATTCGCCGTAGAAGTACGAAGTAAAGCCCCAGAGTGAGAGGGTGAGGGACACGCCTTTCTCCACCTGGAATTTCTCCTGGAAGCATATGACGGCTAGGATCTTGGTGACCGGGAGAAGAAGAGCGATAATGATTCCTGAGAATAGAGAGGAGGCAGAGAAGATGACTCCTATGGCTCCCAAGAAAAATAATTGACAGATGATCGCGTTCCACACAAGCACCACATAGGTATCGGACTTCTCTGAGCTCGTAGTTCCTTGCTTCTGTAGGAATCGCCTGCGTAAACATAATGTCGGGACCAACCTTATGTCATTCTGGTCATAGTTTTTTGTTTTCACCTTTCAGTGGTTTTTTAATTATAGAACTTCAATCGAAAGAGACTAAAGTATTGTCTTTGTCTTACCATCCAAATATCATCCACTCCAGCAGATTGAAAAGATAATCGTGGGATAGTTTTATCAGAGCAATCAACCATAACTATTCATCCTCGGGCAAGGGCATCGGAGATCATCTTGAGGTGGTCCAACACCCATGATGTAACCATGTCGAGGTGGTCACGTGTGATCATCTTCCTATTCAATCAATTGTTCATCATCAAGAAGATGATGAGTTTTTTTCTTTTTGAACTTGAAATGTTTACATACAATTCACATTTGATCTATCTTATTCAATATAAACCAAAACACTCCATCAAATGTCATATATATCCATATCTTATGTTATATATCCTATCATTTACTAAACTCTACAAATGGGGTAGATTAATGCGAATACCAATACCAAACCAAAAACATCAGCCTAAGGTGATAAAGTTGGGGTAGACCAATGGGAGAATCCTTCTGCTATTGCTAGAGATTGATAGTCTCAAATTGATCACGAATTGGTAGAGCAACCTTCCACGTTAGGCAACATACTTAGATTTTTCGACGCATCATCCGTCCGAGGACAAGTCAGGCAAGACTTAACTCAGCCCACCAAAGTTGACCATATAAAAATCAATAAAGCAAGTAGTTTTCATACTTTTTTCCTTGGTCGAAGACTTTTCATACTTAAGAAGCAAATTTTTTCACTTACATTTGTCTGAGGAATTGTCAAAACAAAGCTCGATCATGCAATCCCCACATAAATGACGGGTCTGGGTCAACATTTGCTTTGGCACAAACCAACAATGGCTGATGGAGGAGAGGTGAAGTTACTTGGGTTCTGGGGGAGCCCGTATGCACTGAGAGTGATATGGGCATTGAAGCTGAAACAAGTCCCTTATGACTACTTGGAAGAGGATCTCCTCAACAAGAAGAGCTCTCTGCTATTGCAGTGCAATCCGGTCCACAAGAAGGTCCCGGTTCTCGTCCACCACGGGAAGCCGATCGCGGAGTCCCTTGTGATACTTGAATACATTGACGAGACATGGAAGGAGAGCCCTCTCCTTCCCCAGGATCCCTCTGAGTGAGCAAGAGCGCGATTCTGGGCCAAGTTCGCGGGTGAGAAGGTAAAGTAATGAGTGCTTCTTCCGTTCAATCTAGCACCGGCCTTACTATTTATCTTTCGTCGTTTTCATCACTGTGATTTAAATCATTGATGAGTAATGCATGTATCGAGAGTAATGCTTTGGGGTCAATCTTTTTGAACCACGCGCATAGTGGAGCTCCATTCTTGAAAGTATAGTAGATGTGAAGTACCACCCCGAAATTGTATTGCTAATGATTGAAAGAAGAACATTTTGTTATCACGAGTCGATCTCTAATACATGGACGGTTCCTGTCTCAGTGTGTGCCGGCTATTATGGCTGTGTTCAGCAGCGAAGGCGAGGAGCAACAGAAGCTTGTGTTAGAAGCTCGAGAGACTCTGAAGACCCTGGAGAGCGGACTGGAGGGGAAGCTGTTCTTTGGAGGCGAGACGATAAACTTTGTGGACGTTGCTACCGGCTGGATTGGCTGTTGGGCTCGAATTGTCGAGGAAATCACTGGCACCAGTCTCATCAATGCTGAGAACATGCCTTCGCTCGATGCTTGGTTTAAGAGGTTTCTGGAGCTACCTGTCATCAAGGAATGCGTGCCCCTAAACTGATAGAGCTCAATTCTGGGTTCCACAAGATGTGCGTCGCTTCATCGAAATGATCTTTTCCAAATTCTCTAGGACAGCTTTAGAGGGACTGCAGACTATTGTGTAGTATGTCCAGCTCATGATAATAAAGCATAATGTATGCTTGCGTTATATTACTCTATCTAACGTGAATAAGCATAGTGCACCTTGTGTTGGAGTTGGCGAATACTTCGGGGACCCTTGTTTCTCATACCGAACACGCCCACATGAGTTTAGGGAAATCGAAGTATGATCCGATGACATGTGACCCCTGCACACGGAATGCGGGGGTTCAGGGGCAGCGCCCCCGACACGGGGGTCCCGCTGCACCACCTTTCTATTGGTATCAGAGCTAAGGTCGAGGAATTAGGGTTTATCTGAGATGTCAGGAGGGTCACGGATTGAGATAGAAAAATTCGATGGGATGCGGTTCGACCTGTGGAAGATGAAGATGGAGGACCTACTTTGTGATCGAGATCTCTGGTCAGGGAAAGGCCGATTGTTGCGACGGCTAGTGTCGTGATTGGCAAGGAAGCGGATGCAACTTCCAAACAGCCAGATCCAAAGGAGATTGAGGACTGGGATCGGATCGATCGGAAAGCAAAGGGTTTGATCCGGCTTTGTCTCAAAGATTCCATTCTGACGAGCGCAATACACCAACTTTCACCTTGCAATGACAATCAGACAATGTTTGCTCAGAAATGTTGAAGCTTTCCATTCAAAATCCAGACAGAGAGTGATGGAGTTCTTGTTCCAATGAATTGCCATACAACAGAAATTGACATCAGAAAAGCTGAACGATTACTGATCATGGAGCTTTTAATCCTTTTACAGAAGATAGAAGTATTGTCACATAGGCAAATAAAACTTAAACTCTCCTCTGACATGATATTTTTGTTCGTCTCTTTTTCACTCTATTCTATTTTCCTGCAAAATGAGAGGAAGCAAGATTCTTCCTCAGTGGTCTGATAGGACAGAGTTGACGCGTGTGAAGTCTGAGTTACCGCGAATTAGCAACAATCGCGCTGTTAATTTACACTCGTTAAGGTCACAATGTGCTGATGGACCAGGGTGCCGAACCTGTGGGACAGCATTGATGAAGAGAAATTTGCCACATGGCACCATAATCTAAGTTACTGCTAAATCCGTTCTGAAGCAAAAAAAGTACCGTTTTAGAAACAATGAGTGCTCAAACTCTAATCAACAAGAGATAATCAACTCACCTTATCAATCAATCTATTAAATGAGCGTTCCATCCAATGAGCTAGGAACCTAATCGACACAACTTCACTATAATACTCTCAGGACGATCACGATGCTCTTTCCTAGTCAGGCCGATCAACATCACATGCACGCCCCACAAAAAACACCCGATATAAATAATGGTGAAGGATAGGGGAAAAAATATCAGAGATTAATGGGCATTCAGACACGAATTTGTGATCAACTGAATTTAATTGCCTGAGAATTGCTTTCTGTTCTTCCTTTTTTGTTGTCTAGACCAGAATGGCTGCTAATTGCTAAATATGCCAGCTTGAGGTAAATTGCAGAGAAAGACGATTTCATTTACCAGAGAAAAGAAGTCCACTCCATCATGTCTTTTGGTTCAAACTAGTCAAATGTCATCTTGTAGCTGTCTCTGTGGCTGTGGTAACTAATTTTCAAAACTAGGCTCAATCATGCATGACTTGAACTTACATGAACAATCCACCCACACCTTGTGCAGAGAAATTTCAGTAATGTGTCTGTCTTACATTGGATTCTCGGATTTATTATGTGAACTTATTTGTTGATCAGCTCCTTCAATCGGTCTGGCAATTCCATGTCATTGTCTCAATTAGCACGACCGTATTAGATGTGATAAGATTCTCTTTGGTCAATTCCGTCTATCCAACTTGAATGAAAAGGGAGAAACATAAACAAGAGGGCAAACAAATGAAAAAGCAAAGAGGTTTATTCCGAAACTCCATGGCTTTCGTCATTGTCCCTCTGTCTTGCTCATCACTAGATTGCTGGTTTCCTGCCCAAAGCAGAGTCTCCATGCAGTGCAGCTCCAAATTTTGGTGTTGGATGTATTAGACAATCAAACAGACAACTTTACATTATAGCATGTATATAAGAAGCAACACAGATCCGCAATAACGATTTACAGTTCTGTTTTGTTTTCTTTAACTCGTTCTTTTTCTAGAATGGATTTTTTATTCTGTTCCCTCACGTTATTACAAATCGAACTGTCTAGGATGGCAAAAAAGTACAGACCACAACAGCAGGCTAAGTATGAACCATGTCTTTCATTTTTTGCCTTCGGAGAAGGCCTCTTTTTTTTATGCATTTTGGTCTCTGGAGGTCCAATCTGCTGCTGCTGCTGCTGCTCTCTCGTTTTCCTTCTTGGCAAGTTTGAATTCGCCATAAAAATACGAAACGAAGCCCCAGAGCGAGAGGGCGAGGGACATGCCTTTCTCCACCTGGAACTTCTCCTGGAAGCATATGACGGCTAGGATCTCAGTGACTGGGAGAAGCACGGCGATCATGATACCTGAGAATAGAGAGGAGGCACAGAAGATGATTCCTATGGCTCCCAAGAAAAAGAACTGCCAGATGATCGCGTTCCACACGAGCACCATGTAGTATTGGGCTTCTCCGAGCTCATAGTCCCTTGCTTCTCTAGGAATCACCTGCGTAAACATGAAGTCGGGGGCAACCTTATGTGATTCTGATCATAGTCTCATGTCATCCCATTTCAGTGGTTTCTTAGTTATGGTGCTTCCATGGAACGAGACTGAAGTAATGTCACTGTCTTACAATGCAAATATCATCCACTCTAGCAGATTCAAAAGATAATTTTGCAGGATGGTTTTATTAAAGCAATCAACCATTACTATTGATCTATGGAAAAGCTGTTAAAGTCTCATGAAAAGAGACTGAAAAAAAGAAAGAGCAAGATTTATACTCCGTTTCTTTTGCGAAAAATGAATAATTTCGAGAAATATTTTTCGAATTAAATGATGAAAAAAGTTTTTATAATCGACAATAATTTATGTCTAAATATTTTTATGGACGATAAAAGTATTATTCTTTGTAATAAATTGTTTTCAGGAAAATATTGTCTGAATAATAATTTTGGTTAGAGTAATCCGATTTCTAAGATAATATTGACGTGGATTTTACATGAAATCGACGTGGATTTAGCATGACCAACGATTGTGATGAAACCTAATCCATGTGGAAGGGTCCAGGTTGAGAGAGAGCGAGAACCTGGAAGTCCTTGTTGACCAGCATGCCGACGGTGCAGAAAGCGGTGGCGAAGAAGCACATCACCAGCTGAATCTCCAAGACCAGCGAGTAAGTGACCACCTGCTTGGCCTTCTTGTACGTCAGCTCCACCAGCGGAAGTACGAACCCGTACAGCACCGCTGCCCCGAGCGTCATGAAGAATCCCGCGTAGTACGCCCTGTCCGACTCCCCCGCCTGCCGGTCGCTGCTCGTGTGCATCGCCAGCACCCCTGCCCCCATAGTCAGCAGGAATATCGAGTTGATCGAGTACGACGTGAACCGCTGCCTCACCAGCAAGAATGCGAACCCAGCTGTGAAGGCCAGCTGCGTGGCAATGAGCAGGGCCGACGTCGAGACGGGGAGCTGCGCTACGCCGTACGCGTAGAGGTAGTCGTCGAGGCCCGTGAGAACCCCGATGATGGCCGAGGCGGCGAAGAGGATGGGGTCCATTAGGATGAGGCGGGCGGAGGGGCCCTCGGCGGAGCGGCGGCGGAAGTAGGCTACCGCAAGGGGGAGGAAGATGATCGGCCAGCCACCCGTCTCGAGCCAGCTGGAGAGCCACACGCGGGCGCCACCCCGGATGAAGTAGAGGCGCATGAGGAGCGGGCCACCGCATGTGCCGAGGGAGAGCATGGCGCAGTTGAGTGCGAGGAGGAGGCGCTTTAGGGTTTTGCCCTGGGGACCTTCCATAGTTTCCACCGTGACAAAGCTTGCTCTCTCTCTTTCTGATCTCCTGGGATTAAATGTTTAGCAGAAGGCGATGTTTTGTTCATTCTAAATAGAACTGTCAAAATGGGTAATAAACCCATTTTTTAATCAATATTTGATTGACTGAGTTGTCATTTGTGTTAATTATATTTAATGAATGTGTCATAAATGGGTTTATGATGGCAAAACCCAAAATAAATATAGGTATTAAATGAGTTCCCAACTTACTTATATCAAACCCACTTCTTGACTCTCTCTCACCCTTACTCAATCTTGCTCTCGCTCACTCCGCACTCTCATCTCGGTTTGGGAATGAGTTTTCCTAAATTGGATTAAATATGAAAGTATTTTAGCAATATGGGTTAGGTCGGATATGTGTTAGATTGGGTATAGGTCACTAGATTTGTATTGCATGGAAATGGGTCAAAACGGGTTAAATGGGTTAATTTGGATTGGAGCATTTTCAATTCGACCCAACCCACCCATTTGACCGGTCTAATCTAAAGGAGAAAGTTTAGCACATACTAGATTAAATGTTTGAATCTAAATCTTTCATTATTATCTAATTCATTCACATTTCCTCTTGTTTTCATTTTTAAAGAATTTCTTGAGAGAAGTTGTTAAGTCGGTTTTGTTTTGACATAGTCAAGTGCAAATTAACTGGATATTACATCAGGATAATTACTGAAAAAGTATTAAATCTGCGTTTGGTCATCTGAAATATTCTATTCATTATTTGGTGAATTGCAGTAATAATATTTTTATATCTTATCATATCCATTATTTGGTATGAATAACATATTGATGTAAATGAATCTAAAAATACACAAATAAAGATGGCGAGAATCACTTACGATCCACTACTAAAGAAATCACAAATGCACAAATGCAGATATCCTCCACTAATAAATTCATGATTATTATACGATCTAAATCTTAAAAAGCATAAGAACTCATTGCAGCATTCCAAAGCTATAGGTTCGACCATGACAAGAAATGTGAACAAGTTACAGCAACATCGACGAGGTAGACAGACTGAATGTCAAATCTGGTAAGAGCAAGAAAACATGATTATTCATCTTTGCGAATCCGTAAAGTATAATGCTTCGAACTCTCTCGCTTGCTTCATTTTTATTTACTTATTATTTTTATTATTTTTCCCTCTCTTTTTTTATCTTTTCATTTTTAATTCTATTCCATCATTCCTTAATGGAATTTATTAAATAATAAACTATACTAGTATACCCAAAATATAAATACTAAGCAGTGTAAAGATTCGTCATCTCATCATAGTAGCTTTTTTGTAACCAAAGTGAGATGATACAGGTTAACCATAAAACGCCCCAACTTTCTCAGTTCGCCTCACTTCTGGAATCTACATAACCATGAAGAGCAGGGAAGCTTGCACTGGCGAAGCAAAGGTTCACTACCATGTACAAAGTGATCTTCATCGTCTGTCTAGCTCTGGACATCCATATTCAAGGTAACTCATACCATGATCTTAGGCTGACATTAGAAAACCTCTTCGGCTTTCTATCCACGTTAAGATCCCTACATTGATATTGCAGATTCTGGACACATTAATGTGGTGCATGAACTGCTTGATAACATTTTTACAGAACTGGGAAATTTCAAAAGCCGAGATCTTCATAGGCTTGAGAGCAGGTGCCTTCTGAAGGCAGCTGAGCACAATTCCCATGCAGCTCTCAGGTTTAACGGAAACAAGAGGCGCTTCCAGATTTGCTGAGTTAAGTGTGGAGAGGACTAGGCATCGCAACAGGCTGTGTAGAAACAGCTCATTTGCCATGCTTGCGGTGCACTATAATGGCTTTCGACATAAACCGAACCACAGAAGCAGCATGATTGCCACTCGATCTCAAGACATGACGAAACTTAAAACGTTATAAGAGCTTGATGGAATTCAAGTATAAATTCAGGTGTAGTGAATAATTGCCCTTGTGGCTGAGAGAGGGAGAAAGGTAAATTTAAAGTTTATCACATGTAATGCTATAGAGTTCGGTGTTCTCATCTTTATGTGGCTTCAGCCGTTGACATTGAGACAGAAGTAGATACGGCAGAAGGGAAAACTAGGGATGAGCATGGTCTGGGTTTGCGGTTCTCATCCTAGAACCGGAAACCGTCTATTAAGAATTGGTTTTGAAAAATTTGAATTGGGAACCACCCGTTGGTTCTATGATCCACTCGGGAACTGGACCGCCAGTCCGGTCCGTGCCCATGGAACTGGTCCCACTAGCCAAGAATGGACGGAAAGACGAAGATGGAGACGGAGATGGAGAGTTGGAGATGGTAAGGTGAGTATCGACCGAGAAGAATGAGAGAGTGAGCGTGAGCGTGAGGCGAAAGTGAAAGAAGGCATTTCTCGGCTCAATGTGAGATCGTGAGCGTCGAGCGAGTTAGGTTTAATTTAGGGATTTATAATTTTTCTTTTTAAACAAAAATTAAAAATTAAATAACATATATTATATTGATTATTAAATTACCGGTCCGATCTGGACAAGCGGACGGGCGGTTCCACACCTAGAACCGGGAACCGGACTGGTACCCACCGGTTCCAATTTTGGAACTAGGAACCACCGGTTTTGGTCCGGTTCCGGGCGATCCCGGGCAGTTCTCGATTTTTTTGCACACCCCTAGGGAAAATTGCTGCTTTTATTAAGGGATCATACGTGACATCCTAAATTTTCTATTCTATCTAATATGTTAGCAATATTGTGTTACATAGAAATAAGGCTCATATTTCTCCTTATGTTATTAATAATAATCACGTGATTCTCTCCCTCTCTCATAACCATACTTTATTATACTCGAACACCTCTCTTCAGTTTTCCACAAAGTATTATAACCCACATGCTCTTATTCGTGCCATTTTACCCCTAAGATGACATCATTCATGACATCTCTTGATAAGCCACTACAAAAAAAACACGGAATTAGCGACGAATTTTGCGACGAAAAATTTGGCAAAATCTATCGCTAATCGAATTTGCGATGAAATTAGCGACGGAATTTTTTCCGTCGCTAATAGGGCGTCGCAAAATTTTGTGACGGAAAATTTCAATTTCCGTAAAATTCGTCGCAAATTAGCCACGAACTTTATTCGTTGCAAAATTCGTAGGAAATTTTGTCGCAAAATTCGTTGCAAATTAGCCACGAACTTTATCCGTCGCAAATAATTTGTCGCAAAATTCGTCGCAAATTAGCCATAAACTTTATCCGTCGCAAAATTCGTCGGAAATTTCGTTACAAAATTCGTCGCAAATTAACCACGAACTTTATCTGTCGCAAATAATTCGTCGCAACACTACAAAAAAATTAGGTTTTAGAGACGAATTTTGCCACAAAAAATTTGGCAAAATTCGTCGCTATACGAATTTGCGACGGAAAAAAATCCGTCGCTAATACGCCGTCGCAAAATTCGTCGCTAATTATTCGTGGCAAAATTCATCGCTAATTTGCCACGAAATTTTTTTTTTTGGTCAGTAATTTGCGACAAACTTATTGGTGGCAAAATTCGTCGCTAATTTGCCACCAAAATTTTTTACTTTTGCCATTAACATTATTCATGAACAAATTTAGCGACAATTTTTTATTAATTCTTTTGCGACGAACTCCCCGACGAATATCGTTTAGGGACGAAATTAGCGACGAAATTTTATTTTTGCAACGAACTTTTGTAGTTTGTGATCGTACGATAAAATCATTTATTTTATTTTTCGATTTTAAACCTAATTAAAAGCAAGATTAATTTTTGGAATTTATATTTAACATTGATTAAGCACTTAATAACATCAAAATATTGTAATGATATGAAAATGAAATACATTCATCTACATTTTCCACAAGAATGACATAAACAAAAGCTCGGTCATCCGCGCCCAAAGTAAACATCCAATGATTTCCGGATTTATCATAGTATGATCAAGCTAGAGAAGAAGCAGTCGAACATCCCCCCTCATGCAATCTTTGCTCTTGAGAAGTCCATCTCTGGATGCTGCAAGAGAGGTCGCCAGAAAGAAGAAATTAGCAACGTTGATCTACAGATACAAGAACGCTCATCAATAAGAAAAGCAACCAATATCCACCTCTGCCACGAACTTCTTTAGAATCTCCTGTTTCTGCATCTCATCACTGGTAGGAAGACCCATTGCCTTTTGTCTCTAATCAAACTGATAAGTTAAAAGCAAAATGTCAGTCTGATAAGTTAAAAGCAAAATGTCAGTATTGTATTTGCAAGGAGAAATGCAAACACTCCAAGGCCACCAGCATTGTGCTCGTCTACATGCACATAACAAAATACATGCAATGTGTGTTTGTTTAGTTAATACCCAGGAGGAGCTTAAGAAAGAGAGCCACTTACCATCATCTTTTCATCTGTCTGTCGAGTTCCTGGGTCCAGGTCAGACAATTTGCTATTCTCTGGTTCTACCTTCTGAGTATCAATTTTAGGATCCCCTTTGACCAAAGATTTCCACCACTCCATTTGATTGTGCTTAGTCAGGAGAATGGAGATCGCACTGGCTGGTCCTCTGTAGATTCACAACGTTAAGATGATCGCGCAACATGGAATTGACTCATAATACTATTAACTTAACAACAGGAGGCAGATCATTCTTGTTTGTGTTTGAATTCATATGCCATGTGATATTCTTGACTCAATCCACGACGTACCTAAACTCCAGTAACAATCATCAGGCTTGACAGTCTGGAAAAGCTCCCCCTGTAAGGAATCGTACATGGTCAAGAGAGTTATGTAAATAAAGCAAGCTGATTAAATAAACTCAAATTACGCACACTCACTTCTATGACAGGAGGTTGACCCTCGAGTCCAACTTTCAAGTGGTTTTTCTTTATGTCGCATACCACAAACCTTCCTTTAGCACCCTTAGGAACTGGAACATGGACGGTAACCTCCTGCAGAGTCTGAGTCCAGGAATAATTCTCAAGATCAAGGCCATTGCCTTTGTTTGGCACTGCTCAACCAGAAACAATGTCAGAGCAACTACGGAGGCAACGTGGTATATTTTACACAATATGTCTAC